CCCCACCTACCCAGATGGTCATTAGGGCAGAGAACTGGTTGTTAAATTATTTGAATCCCACCACAGCCTTAAATGCAAACTACTAAATGCAAGAAGCCTCGCAAACAATTTCTTCTTCTACTAAAGACAGCTCAATTTGACCTTACATTTGTCTGAGAAATATGGTTAAATAAATCCTTTGCAGACACTATTACCACTACAAGTGACTACCATGTCCACCGGTCTGACCGTGAAATTTGAAGAGGGGGTGGTGTTGCTATCTTCTACAAAAAGTCCCTAGACCTGAAAAATATTCAAGTAACACAAGAGCTTGTTCTTCCCCAGACCATTATCTGTGATCTATCACTAAATACCACAATTCGCTTCCTATTATGTTACAGAGCCCCTGATTATGATCTTGATCATGCAAGCAAGCTAACTACATTACTAACATGGGCAGCCTCATGCCAACATCCCATTATCTTGGTGACCTCAATTTACTTCTTATTAATTGGATCTTAAATGAGTGCACAACTGAAACAATTCATACAACCCTGTATAATGCCGTCACTACTTTAGGACTAGTTATCAATTGGTAACTATCAACACTAGCTTCAACAACTGCCTCGATCTAATCTTCTGCAACAGTTTAAACACAATTTATAACCTTCATATCAAAGAACCTTTTTCCAACAGTGACCACAGCATGGTTGACTTTTGTCTAAATTTACATCCATACAAAGAATCTCATAATAGGTCTATTAAATATAACTTCAAAAAAGCAAACTACGATCTTATAGCTACCGACCTCTCATCCCCAGATTGACAAATCCTATTCAATGACTGCAACACTGCGGAAGACCATATGACACTTTTCTACCTGAAGTTCAGAGAGTCATTAATCTATATGTACCTTTAGTAACACCCAAAGCCAAAAAGAACAAATTACCCAATTACTCAATAAGGAAATTCCAATTTAAAAAAAAAATCCCTTTGGTGGGAAAATAAAATTGGCTATGTAGCTAACTTTAAAAGCCGATACCAAACCTTATGTCAGCAAATAAAAACAGAATGTACCACTGTAAACAGGAGGAAGAGCTGTTACACACGAAATCCAATCGAGCCTTCTTTAATTTCGTAAACACCAAACTTGAGGACTCAAAAACCATCCCACCTCTAAAAGGGCAAAATGGTGAATATTGAAGATTGTAATATTCTTCAGTAGTGGTTGTATAGTTGCCCTCCTTAATTGCTAATTGCTGGATTCCGTATTTGTTTATTTATCAAATGTATATAGCCACCCATCTCCCCCAAAGGGGGATGCTAGGTGGTATACAACAATAAATAAAACAATAAGCTAATCTAAAAAGCCACAGTAATAACTAACATAAAAACAAAAATACTAACTCTGGGTGAAGAGAAGATAAAAATGGCGCTCTAAAGCCATCAAATCTCAGATTCCATTGGACCCTTGGCCTATTGGCATAACCAGGTCCTGAGGGTTTTTCAAAAAATCTAAAGGGATGGGCCAATCTAATTTCAGGGGAAAGGATGTTTCATAAAGCAGGAACCACAACAGACACCCACTTGAGAGCTTCCAGATGTAGGTCCTTAGCTGATCTTACTTGCATCATCCCTGCTTTGAGAAATCTAGCAATAGCAATAGCAGTTAGACTTATATACCGCTTCATAGGGCTTTCAGCCCTCTCTAAGCGATTTACAGAGTCTGCATATCGCCCCCACAGTCTGGGTCCTCATTTCACCCACCCATTCGGAAGGATGGAAGGCTGAGTCAACCTTGAGCCGGTGAGATTAGAACCGCTGAACTGCAAGATAACAGTCAGCTGAAGTGGCCTGCAATACTGCACCCTAATCTCTGCGCCACCTCGGCTCCAGATCTAAATGGAGTGGGCTAACCCAGGAGAGGTGGTTCCTTAGAAAAGCCCTTAAAAGGTTTTTAATGGTGATTTTCAAGTCGCTCTCATCACCTTATCAAATTTATGTAGATTAGCTAGGTCAATCCTAGTTAAAATGTTGTCAACCCGAGAGCAGAAGAACCAAATTCAACTCTTCCTTCTATACAGAAAACCAATAATGATACAAAATGAGGTTTAGCTGTAGATGTCCTAAATAATTTCCAATATACCAAATCCAGCAGGCTTCCAAAAAAATGATTTTATTAACCCGTTGGTCCAAATATATTTGTCCAAAATACTTGGATATGTATTTCACATGAATATTGAGAATATGGAAATTTGGCAAGGAAAATGGTTTGTAAAAGACCAGTTGAAGCAGATATGACTGTTTATATGTACATGGGTATAATCCAATCTTTATAATATAAAGATATGGAGTATTTTTGTTGTAACATATGTAAGATGTGAGATCTAATAATGTCCACATAAATTTGCCGTTTTTAGCTAAATGTG